TCTGGCTTCGAGGTGGCAGAAACAAGAACCAGTTCAACATCGAGTTCCTATACCCAAGCCTGTTCTTGAGGCAATGGTTTCCTTCGGCTGGCAAAACGGATGGAGACGATGGGCCTGCGTGACTATGCTATGTTATTTTGGAGCTGCTAGACCTGGTGAGGTTTTAAGTTGCTCACGTGCAGATCTTCTGCTGCCAGCCGATCTCATGGAGGAGACCCACGGTTCAGCATATCTTTTGCTGCAGCGACCCAAGACTAGCTATCGTCAGACGGCTCGAGTTCAACATTTGAAGATTTCGGATGATACTGCCATTCGTTTGCTGACGTTCGTTTACAATGGTGCCGAAGCTTCGGAGAAGCTCTTTGCTGGCTCACCTGCCGTTTACAGACGCAGGTGGGACATTGTACTTCAGTGCTTGGGGGTACCCACTTCTTGCTTGTTGGCTCCTGGAGGGTTAAGAGGGGGAGGCGCAGTCAGTCTCTTTCGCAGCGGCCTTTCAAATATCCAATTTGCTTTGGCGCATGCGGATTCAGCATGCCTCCAGGAGGTCACCGCGATTACTGCCTTGACGAAGATTCCACAAGATGCTGTGAAGAGGATTCGTTTGACATCAACTTTTTTCTCGTTCTTGACCTGATGCTGACGAAGATTCCACAAGATGCTGTGAAGAGGATTCGTTTGACATCAACTTTTTTCTCGTTCTTGACCTGATGCTGGTTCCGGGACATTTGACTGCGCAATGCATGTGAGGCTGCTCGGCCTTTACTTTGTTTTCGCCCGGTGCGCCCTTTTCTATTCGTGGAGAGGACAGCTGCTTCATTGGATGACTACGCTGCCATTGGTTTACTGCGAGTGGCTTCGTCTATGTTTACAGCTGCATCGCCACACTTTCACCTATACTTTCGTGGGCGCCAGCCAGCACAAAAAGAGTGCCAGTGCGCTGCAACTGAGGGATTTCCATATATATATAATTATATATATATATATATATTATCATATATATATATATATATTATCATATATATATAATATACGCACACAC